GCTGCTGCTGCTGTTTCTGGTTCTGGTGGTGGTGCCGCTGGTGTTACTACAAATGGCCTCGTTGCCGGCAGGCATCAGGGCAGCCCTTTCAAGGGACAGGTTAGGATGGCCGAGGACACCCTCGTCGGCCCTTGCGGCAAGAAGCGGTGCGCCGATCGATACGACAGTTCCGAGAGCTCTGACAGGTGAGTGTGAGCGAGATAGCTTCTTTCTCTCGTGGTTCGAAGCACGACGAACGTTCGCCTCAAGGAACGAGAGCTCGCCGAGCTCACCAGGGAGAAATGGCAAACCTGACTAGAAAGAGAGAAAGAGAGAGAATCAACCCAATCTTTCTACCCACTCCGACTTCTTTCCCTTCTTTCCTCAGTTTACGCGATCTTGCTCCTTCTTTCTTTTTTTTTTTTTTTATCTTTGTTGTGTTTGCTCGCGATAGTACCAGTGTCACGTATCTCGATAACTATGTAATAATATAATTGCTAATATACACGCTGTGTATACGTGCATATGTAGGTATACACACGCGTAATCGTAGTCGTAACTACGAGAACATTCGGTTGTTGTACACGTATCTCGTGTTTACGTTCGCGACGCGTTTCTTCGAAGTAGGGTTTTTTTTTTTTCTGTTGTGACAGCGGAGGAAGGAGCCACTCGTGTGTACGACGAAAGAACGTCGAGGTATGTGCCGATGTATGTAAAATACACGAGTACAATTTGCGACGACGAATCTCGGTTTCTCGATTGCGCTCTCTCTCTCCCTCTCTCTCTCTCTCGAGGTCTCTCGAGGTTAAAGGAATGCAATGGTCAGTAAGCGAGTCTCGGTTCGGGTATCGCAATTAGTGCGAAGGCGCGTTCGACAGGCAGGCCAGGGGTCGTTGTACCGCGGTTACGAGACCGACAACCGTGGCTGCGTTCGATCTGTGTGCGCCGCGTGTTTATAGGTTCGTAGATGCTGCCAACTCGCCCTCTCGTTTCGCCTCTTTTCTCTCTCTCTCTGTTTCTGTATTTGCTCTTCCTCTCCTGGCTCGTTCGTTCGTTCCTTCTCTTTCCGGCCCTTTTTCCCTATACGAACTTATCGCGCTCAGAAGCGAGCTTGCGTTTCGAGACGGTTGCTAGCCGAAGGAAGCGAGCAGACTAGTCTTTTTCCTTTGTGTTTCTACTGTTGCTCCGTATCTTTCCCGATAGACTGTGGAATGTGTACAACCTACCAAACTATTCGAGCACGTGTAGAAATTCTCTAATTGTGAAACATTTTGTATATAAATTGTAACGTGACGTATGTATTTTAAAATATTAATTTCGAGTGTTTGAATCCTTTCGTAATTCACTCGTACATTGTACGAGTTCTTGTTTTCGTGTTTCTCGAGGTGTTGTCTCAACGACAAGTTTCTATCAAACAACAAAGCGTTTGAACGAGTATATCTTTCTCCGTTGAATACTAAAATTAATTTCAAAGAAAAGAAAAAAGAAAACGCCATCGAGAATTCCTTGGTAAAATATCTTTAATACTGATTCTTCACTTTGAACATTCTTTGTACGTAGACGTAGTCTCGTTGTTGTTGCAAAAATTTAAACTCTTGTGTTGGCAACTGGTTCGCGGACCATAACGAGTGACCAAACCGTATACAATAATAGTAGAAGTATCAATACTTTTATTAATACTGTTATTATTAATACTATTATTAATACTAAGAAATTACCAAAAAGTAATAAATTTATTACTTGTTTTGTCTGGGTTATATTTAAATATATTTAAAACTGAGAAAATACTGCATTTTTGGAACGTGAAAAAATTCTCGACGTGCGTGGCACGTCATTCCAGCGCAAGAGAGGTTAGAAAATACAGATGAGAAAATCATCGATGAAGAATTTTCGTTCGAAGATCGACGAACAATAACGATAAAATTAAATGTTTCTTTAACATTTGCTGAACGTAACGTTCGTACAGCTTTCGTGCTCGGTGTTTGATTTCGCGCTGTGGAAAGGGGACGCAATAAAAGTTTAGTATCCTAACGGTTCTTTCTCTTTGATACGCTACTGAACTCGAGCGTTTCGTACGAAGAAAATACGTAGCCTAACCGCGGCCATTGTCTTTTCGTGCCTCGGTTGCGAGCAACGTTCGCCAGACGTAACTTCCGTTTACGTGTTTTCCCAATCGGTCGGTGAAAGTGTTACGCGCTGTCCGTTTAACCTTGCCGT